CCCAGTTTTTGGTATCAACATATACCAAATTAATTAGGACACTTCTTACTAAACTACAGACTATTCAAATTTCCCCAGTTTTTGGTATCAACATACACCAAATTAATTAGGACACTTCTTGCACCTGACAAAATCAAAGTTGGATGGGAAGACAAGCATATAAATAAACCCATTGCTGTCTAGTTGATTCTGACCCATAGTGACCCTATAGGACAGAACAGAACTGCTCCATAGGGTTTCCAAGGAGCTGCTGGTGGATTCAAACTGCCAACTTTTTGTTTAGCAGCGTATCACTTAACCACTGCGCCACCGGGCTCTGTATAAATAAATGCTGTTGTTGTTGTTAGGTGCTATCCAGTTAGTTCTGACTCAGAGCGATCCTACGTAAAACAGAACAAAACACTGCCCAGTCCTGCACCATCCTCACAATCGTTGTTATGCTTGAGCCCACTGTTGCAGCCACTGTGTCAATCCATCCTGTATATAAATAAATAGCTATAACAAAACATGATAAATGATCTCCATACTGGAAGCATAAACAAAGTGCTATATGAACTCAGAGAAGATAAATGAAATTAAACAGATAGGATTAGGGTGAAAACACCACTAACGGTGTCTTGCAATAAGAAACACTTTGGGTAAACTACTCCTTATTGATAATGGAAGTTGCAGAGCACAAGAATAAATAAGTTCTATGTTACATTCTTCAGTGGGAATGTATTACAATCTTAAAGTCAAACATTGGGTTCACTTTTTAAATCACATACTCTAGTGGGGTTCAAGTTCACCTTGAGTAAGGCCTCAATGTTGGAGCCCTAGGTGGCGCAGTGGTTAAGCGCTTGGCTGCTACTTTGAATTCACCAGCCACTCTGTGGGAGAAAGATTTGGCAGACTGCTTCCGTAAAAACTTACCGCCTAGGAAACCCTATGGGGCAGTTCTACTCTGTCCTATAGGGTCACAATGAGTTGGAATTGACTCGACAACAATGGGTTTGGTGTTTTTGGTTTTAAGGTGTCAATAAGGGTATTGATCCTGGTTGCTGCTATATCACACTTAAGAGGAACTGCAGATGAGACAGAAATACCTGTGCTCAATCAGCGTATCTCCAGACACACATCCTAGAGAGCGGGTAGGAAACAACAGCCTAATTCTAGGCTTGCCTTTGTGGCCGAAAGGGAAGAATGCTGTGGGTATCTGACCAAGAAGATCAGGAAGTTTCACAGTAAAAGTAAATCCCATTTTCAAGGGAGTAGTGAATGCCAAGAATCCACTTATAAGTCTTCACAGCTAGTCTTCAAGGGAAAAGAAAGAGTACAGACTGTGAAAATAAGGGAAAGATGATGTTTCGACCATAGGACAAAAGCAAGAACAAAGGTATAGAGTAGAAAAGGTACATCTGCTATTTTTACCAAGATGGAAGCACATCAGTCCTGCCTCAATGGAAAGCAAACCAGATACGCTTCCAAGCTTCCTTTTCTAGAAAACAATCTATTGCCGGGCATAACTGAGAAGGTAGATTGTTTCTTAGAAGCCCTGGACACCTTTTTCTCTAATATTATTCAATCAAAAGGAAAACTCTTACTCCCCGATGCAGGTTTACAAATCCCTAGCCTGGAAAAGGAGTTTTCATGGTAAAGTCTGTGGCTAAAACAGCAATCTCCCTCAAGGTCTAAGACAGCTTAAGCTGGAGCAATAGCTCATTAATAAACTAGCTCTGGGTATTCACGGCATCTTCTGGAATACTATCAGACAAACCCAGGGAAGCAAAGGGTAGAGTAGAGGGGGTGGGCAGGAGAACAAGTGAGTCATGCTTTATTCTGTTCTATTCAAGGCTGTAACAGAGCGCTTCCCTCTGACTAAGCATAAATGGCTTTGCAGATTACAGACCCAAATATGGAACTATGAGTTTATGCGGTGACTATGCTCATTAATGGAGGTAGCTTAACAATATTATTAACTCCAAAGTAGCAGGCAAAAGGGCAATGCAGGAGAAAGAAAATGATGAAGGTTGGAGCTCTGGGGTGCTCTCAAAGGGAATCACAGGCAGGAAAACAAGAAATATGTTTGGAAAAACAGGACTTGTCTCTCTGAGTTCTTCTCCCTTGCTCCTTTAGAGGCTCTCCTGAGATTCTATTATCACTGATTTCAATAAAAAATACCTTACATTTGAAAAGAATATTTAAGGGAAAGAATACTGTATCGGATATTAGGATACAAATCTAGGTTCCAATCCTTTTCAGGTCACATACCAGCTGTTTTATCAAGGACATTTCAACCTTTCTGGGTCTCAAAAAAAAAAGAAAGAGAGTAGGTGCAAGGAGGGGGTTTATACAATATGAAGACTAATGTCCCCTGTCTAGAGCCAGATTTCTGTGACTCCTTTAAATGTGCTCTGGAAGTATTATTTCATTCCCTGCCACAGTCCTGGCAGGCCTCCACTTGTGGATGATTTTTATAGTGTTTCATCTCTACTCAGCAGAAGCGGGTCCTTAGATTCTCTGACCCAAAACGAGTAACTGCCCATCCCACCACCAATACTGCAAGAAATTCCCTTTCTCTTACTGCTGCCTCAGCCCCTAGAAGAGGATTTCCTTTTCTTCATGACTCCTGGCCACATCTTCCAGTTGCCACCTCTTCACTACCAATCCTAGCTCCACCCACAACCCCAGCCAGGATCTCTAACCCTGATGCCACCAATCATACCCTCTCTGAAACCCCTTCTCCCATTCTATTCCCTCCTGCTGGTGGACACGGCACCTCTCCTGCCCTTCCCATCCCATACCTGTCACCTGCTGTTTCCATCCCAAAAGCCATCACCCTTGACAAAAGGAGACCCCACCGCCCAGGAAGACAGGAAGAACTGAGAGAAGAAGTCCTGCTCCTCCTGCCAAGGCTTTTGTTGCAGGAAACGTGTGTTTCTGGCACACCGCAGAGCTTGACAGTGCATACCAGTGAACAACACAGCATTCCCAAACCAAAACTCTTAAACCCGCTTCCCACAGTTACATTACCATATGCATGATAGTTCTGTATTTCATGTACCCACAATAGGTTAAGCAGGATTTCTGTGGGCTGGCCTGAAGACCTCACTGCCATGTACGGCATTGTTTCTATAGGAAAATGCTGTCTGAGTGCCCAGCAACTGACTTACTAATGACCTTTAAAAACTCCCTTTCCTTCCTCAGGAATGGCTTGTAAAATAGGGAAACTTAAAAATCTGTTAAACAAAAGAAGAAATCAAAGAGCAGCCATTTATGGTTATAACATAATTCTACACAAATATATGATCTACAGAGAAACACGTTAATAACACAGATAGACATGTAAGGATTAAGTTGGTAGAGTAAATTATCTAACTGATCTCTCTCTCATACACACATATATCACTCTTACTCTTCATTTACAACGTGGGGTCAGCCTCCCCAGACCATCCTCAAAAATACACATCTATTGTGGGAAAAGGGTTTCACCAGTGGTGAAAATAAGTACAAAGGAAGTGTAGACCATAAGGTAACACCCGAGGATCTAGAAAAAACGTGTGTTTGGAAAAAGGAAAAGAACACAAGATGCACCAAAGCAAAAAACCAAACCTGCTGCCATCCAGTTGATTCCAACTCACAGCAATAAGATAACACAGAAAAGCTAAACGCAGTGTATCACCCCAAAATACTAATTTCCAAACAAGATCTTCTTCAGTGTGTGGAAGCTCCTACTCATGGTTACAGAAATCTAGCCGCCTCCTTTTGACACTTCTCTGCCCAAGAAACACTTCCTGAGTACCTGCTCTGCAGAGCTCTGCAGAGCACACTGGGAAAGCAAGACACACTCATCCAATCTGAGAATAAATCTACGGCACCATAAAAACCACAGGAAAAAATACGGCATCTGATGCAGGAATACAGGTTAGGAGAAGAAAGAGAATTAGTCAGTGAAAATCATGGAATAGCTAACAGACACTCATTGAGAGAAGATGTCCAATAACACTCTACAAGCGGGAATCAGCAAGATATATGTAGGGGGCAAGCGAATGGAGAGCCAAGGAGGGAAGCTAGAAAAATGGCGGCTGAAGTTTATGAAAGGATTTTGTATGCTGAGCTGCAGCACTTACTTCTGACAGGTCAAGTCACAAGGTGATGTGGGTTCTGAAACAGGAAAGTGAATTGAACAGGTATAAATGGAGGGGTCTGTTATGGCATCTAATCCAGGCTGTTACCCACATTTTTAACATATATGGTATCACTAACCTGCCAGATACCAGTAGCACTCTATCTGCTACTTCAATACAGTAATCTCTGATACTGAAATTTAAAGTGAAGAAAGATGCCTTAAAAAAGGGAAGGGAAGGAGAGATACCTCTATGTTTCTGTCCAAGTTGACTCACCTCATAGAAAAGTCCTTCTGGGAACTGCTGGAAGCACTGTGCACACACAAAGCACTGCTCATGGTACAGCTCACCATTACTGTTCACAATCTTCTCAGCGGGTGCAAAACCACCCTTACAGCGCTCACAGGTGGCATTGGCCAGGGCATTGGCCATGTTGCTGTAACACAAAAGGACAGGAAGTCACAAATTGTCAACCTTTTCTTAGATTCAAAATCCAACAGCACAAAGAATTGAGGAGCAAATTCTATCTGATCACAAAAATCCAACTTTATATATGAAGGCCTACTTCTTGCTTGTGTTAAGTTCTTTAACTCAAATTGCTGCAGTCTCTTTACCCTAGCATCTTAGGTTCTGAAAGGCCCTCCTGTTTTGACTGTTTTTTTTGTTTTTTAACACAGCATTCCTCCTGCTACCAAATACACTACGAGTGAGTGCCTACTATGCGCTAGACATTAGGGATAAAGATGAAAGACAAGAAGTGCCCTCAAGGGGCTCAGGTTTACAGCTTGATAAATAGCTTAATTAAAATACCCATAAATGATCGAATGGGAAACTAATTTTCTCTGTAAACTTTCACCTAATGCACAATAAAAAATAAAAAGTGAACATCTCAAAGTCTGTTTCTTTCTCTCTGAGAACAGAATCTAAACTGCATGTCAATGGAATGCCATATCATATCCTACACGTAGGTTATCTTCTTGATTAGATCCTGTCAAAAGCAACTGCTTAAGTAACTCATACAATCAGCCAAGATGCCCAGTCCTATTAACAACTGCTAAGACAAACAATGAACACTATTATCTAACATACCTTAAAATCACAGACTACCACCGTATTTTTGCACAAATAATGTGCACCTTCTACGTTTGTTTGCCAACCACCCTGTCCCCCCTCAAGGTATTTTTTTAAGCACACTATGCTAATTTTTTTTTTTTTTTTACAGCAGCATGTACAGAACATTTGGCATAGTGCTTACAAATACCTCGAGGGGGGAGGGTGCAGTAGGCAAATGTAGAAAGTGTGCGTTGTTTAAAACTACAGTAGGTTATAAAGAACATTTTACAGATGATGAAATGGAGATTCAGAGAGCCAAAAGTCACAAAGCTAGTCAGACAGGAAAAAGGACTAGAATCCAAGTCCCCCAGCTCAAAGAATTACAAGATCACATAAGATTCAATATAAATTTCCAACACGAGAGAGGACGTGATACAGAAGGTACCATGACCGACCAATCAGGAAGGTGAAACCAGAGCAGTCAAGTAACATGGTAAGGAGGCCAGTAACTTGGATAATTTCCTCACCAGTAATTCCACTATACCTTAAAACACATAGAAGGCATCTAATAAATGGTCCCAAATTCTATCTAACCATTGTGCATTGGGAAGAAGAAAGGCAAAATGGCTTTGACAGGTATACAATTAGATAATTATTCATTCTCTAACAGGCTCCCTGGATTTCACATAAAAACTGTTCTGTTTCTGAAAGGTCTCCAAGTGGAGGAGGACTCTTAGCGCAGTCCATCATTGGCCTATCTGTCCTTTGTCATTTAACAAGTGTTTTGTGGACCTTTTCAGATTCCCACTGAGAGTCCAAGCTCCGCCTGTACACCTGGTCCCCTGGTACAGCTTCTGACTTCCCAGATATTTAATCAAGCCACCTTGTGAAGCTACTACCAAAGTTTGTCTGAATCTTCACAAAGACCCTGTGAAGTAGGTGAAATGAGAAGTCTCCATTTTACAGACAGATTAACCGCCTTGCCCCATATTAGCTTCCAAGTTTTGCTGTTTCTTTAGGGAATTGTAACACACCAGTGCAGAAGTGGTCACAACTACCTTGCTTCACCTCTACCCCCACCCCAACCCCAATGGAAGGCAATGATGCAGTTTGCTTTCTCTCTCAAAAAAGTTTCAAAGAACAGTGTTCCTATTTTGCAGTCTTGCCATAAGTAACTCCATGCAGAAATACGATGCTCATAACCCACACCAGTCAAAGGTCAACTTTATTTAATAGACTTGGATATAAAATTAAAGATTTAAAAAAGGGTGGTGGTTGGGGGAGAGGCAGCCTCACTGCTTTGCAAACCTGGCCAACGCCCAGGCAACCTACCTGCTCTATTATACGAAAGAAAACCACCACCACCACTACTTGGTCATTTCAAAATTATTGTGGGTTGGGGAGAAAAATCTGTAAAAGTCTCTGCTTCACGTGGCTTTGTCGTATGCTGGATGGACTGTGGCAGTTTTAGCAAAGATCTGAAGAGCTTTCCTCTGACCAAAACCCACAGGTGTCCCCTGATGAAGTATGGTAAGCCTCACACCTGCCCTAATACGTCTTCAGTAGTGTATGGTTAGGAGTTTGGCTGCTAACCAAAAGGTCGGCAGTTCGAATCTACCAGGTGCTCCTTGGAAACCCTGCAGGGCAGTTCTACTCTGTCCTATGGGGTTGCTATGAGTTGGAATCAACTCGATTTCAACAGGTTTGGTTTTTGGTACTGTTATGAGAATAAAATAAGAAAAAGTATATAAAACCACTTTGGAACTCAAATATAAGGCATTATTAATATTCTAAACCTTCTCAAAAGATTCAACACGTCATCCATGATCTAGTAGCAGAAGTCCAAAAGAGCTGGAAAAGGAGAATATTCTGAAATGTCCTGATTCATTATCACTTAGATTAGCAGTTCTCAAAGTACAGGGTCACCATGATCCCTTCAGGGGTCTGCAAGGTCCTCCTTTTTAACTATACTTCTTTGGGAGGCCATATTTTCTTCACATACTTCATCTAAAACAACATACTGCAATAGGCTGAATGCAGAAGCAGATATGAGAGTCTGTCTTCTATTATGACAGACATTAACAAGAGTTGCAAATATGTAAAACAATGCCTTTCTTCCTACTCAATTTTTTTGTTTTGGAAAATAGTTATTTTTCATAAAAATATTTATGTTAACATGTAATCAATTTTGTTATTTTTAAATGAATTAATATTCTAAAGTTTTGTCAGTTTTAATTTCTAATACACTAAATATTGATAAACAATTGAGTTCTCAATAATTTCTAAGAGTGAAAAGTGGTCTTAATACCAAAAAATTTGATATTCATCGAACTGCTTATATTTCATTACATTAAACCGTTGTTCTTGTTAGTTGCCGTCCAGTCAGCTCCGATACATGGCGACCCTTTGTACAACAGAACAGGGGGCCAGGCCTGCATCATCATCATGATCACTGATATGCTTGCGTCCACTGTTGCAGCCACTGTGTATTTTGAGTACCTTCCAATGTAGGGGTTCATTTTCCAATACTATATTGGACAATATTCTTGTGATCTATAGGGTTTTCATTGGGGAATTTTTGAATGTAGATCACCAGGCCTTTCTTCCTAGTCTGTCTTAATCTGGAAGCTCTGCTGAAACCTATCAGTTTGCAGTACTGTAGTGGCTTGATGTTGCTATCATGGTGGAAGCTACGCCACCAGTATTTCTTTATATTACAGACTACTTATGTTCAAGTTCAAATACTCGAATAGTTAGAATTAGAAGCTAGGTAGACACATTATAAAAGCAAGCACATAGTTATTTCCTACACACAGCAAAAATAGTTTTAGAGAAATAATACATGTATTTTTCAAGAAGCATTCCTTTTAATAATAAGCAAAAAAAAAAAAAAAAGAAAAGGAATGAAAAGAAAAAAGAAAGGGAATAGAAAACAAGAACAGTAGAGAAACCTGTCCAGAAAGAAAACATAATCTCATCATCCTAACTGTTCACCGTTTGCCTCTTTCCCTTCTTGTCTTTGAGCCTTCAGCACGACGTATTTTTTTTACAGTTAACTTTATACTCAATACTACATATGATGCTCCTTTTTAAAAGTCATGAAAGGTATCATAGAATTAAATATGCAGTTACAGCTCTTATTCAGCTAGTCATAATGAATTACAAATTTTTAGAAAAAGACTTCCACTAAAGTCTTGATGACAAGGAGTATACATGTATATATTGGACACACACACACACCTTTAGTACAGAGTCTTCATAACTAGCTAATCAGAACTAATTTAACGACCTATTTCCACAAATCAACCTCACACAGAAAATTTGAGATCATCTAGCTTTCCGTTATTCAAGTGCTTCATTTATTAAGAGTATGCAGAATGTATTCTCTGGTCTTAAAATGCAACAATGTACAAATGCAAAAATAATCTTGAGAATTCACCAAGTAGTTAAAATGTTGGTTACAGTATAATGACAATTCCCCAATTACTCTTAAACAGAGAGCTATTCAATGAGTTGTGAACATAAATTACATCTGTTGCAATATCACACAGAATGTATTAATGGAAATAGAGAATCAGTTACCTTTTTCTTACCTCTTATTTAACAAATTTGGGATCTGTAATAATTTTAGCTTACCACTTTCAATCAGGTCAACAATCTTACTTGAGTTGGTCTAAAGGCTACTCTGCACTGTATTTTTTTATTTAAAAGAAGACCTCTTCGCTAAAATTCATTTAACAAAAACATTTAGACTAACCATTTAGAGTTGTTTAACAGCGTATCTTTACATAGACACACATACACACGCTAGTTACACGTCACCCTTATTTATTCAATCAATCCTCTGGAGACAGTATTTTGAAATCTAATTAGCCTAACTTCAAATAGCAGATTGTTAAACACAACGAAGATGTATTTCTTTATAAACAGTCTTTAATTCAATTCTTAACTGATTTCCCCAGTTTTTGTGACGTTTTAGAGTATAAATTTTTTCCATTATAAATCTTCTCAGTGAAAATTCTAAACCTCCCTTCTTTGGACTATATAATGAAAATATCCGTACAATTATTGGGGACCTACTGAAGAGTAAGACTTTATTACTCTTACTTTAAAGGTAGCATTTTCCGTCACATCTGCATTTCATCTAGTGAAAGTGTTTTACATGCCACGGCATTCTATCTGCCTCCCAGGAAGAAAAACATCACTGAAGGTAAAGTAAATAGAACAATATTAGCCATGTCAAAATAGCTAGTGAATTGAGAGCCCAAGAATGCTAATCTGGAAGAGCAGTTCTCCAGGAGAGGAGACACTTACAATTTCGCATAAAAGTCACAAAACTCCTTGAAGACTTTTACGTCACTGTGCCTGCGCTGCAGTTTGGAC